CCTGTACTCTGGCCCGTCAGAATGGGCACTCAGCGAGCATCTGCCTTGATGAAAGAGCGAGACAAAGGTGGCATTAAGCACTTCAGCCTTGTCTTCATCCCTAGTCACCATTTTCCCCTTTTCATCCCTTAAGGACTGGAGATTCTCCATCCTTAGGCCATTTCCTTCTTTCCCTGCAGAATCCTTCAGTGCTGTCGCAGGCTGCCCTCCACAACGGAACAGCTCTCCAGGGGCAACATCCCTGTGTTATCCAGGAGCCCCATGGAGAAGACACGTCAGTGCTAAGCCCATGGAAATGCTGCTGAGTGACCGTACACAGGCAGGTGCAATGAGCCCTCGGTGTCCCTGGCTGGTAGGGGAGAGCTGAGATCCTGCTCAGGTACCATGAGACAGGATGAGGGGTTTGGAATTCTGCCCTTGGAAACGGGATTCCTCTGCCCTAAACAATATTCAGTTTATTTTACGGTGAAGATCTGAATGTGATTGTCCTCCAACTCAATTGTGTGACCTCATTAATGCGTGACCTCATTCATTTTTATAAATTTGTAAAGGGCGAGTGTCAGGAGGAAGGAGCCAGGCTCTTCTCTCTGATGTCCAGTGACAGGACAAGGGGCAATGGGATCAAGCTGGAACATAGGAGGTTCCATGTGAGGATGAGGAAAAACTTTTTTACTGTGAGGGTGACAGAGCACTGGAACAGGCTGCCAGAGAGGTTGTGGAGTCTCCTTCTCTGGACACATTCAAGGCCAACCTGGACACCTTCCTGTGTGACCTAGTTTAGGTGACCCTGCTCTGGCAGGGGGGTTGGACTGGATGATCTTTTAAGGTCCCTTCCAACTCCTGAGATTCTGTGATTCTGTGATTCTGTGATTCTGTGTGATTCAATTTGATGCCAGCACCGAGTAGATGAGACCAGGGTCGAGAGACAGAGCAGATCTTCTGAAAAGCTCTTTAATATCATGAGTAGATTTAATGTGTTGTAACCCTGTGTTCCTATTACCTGTTTGTGCAGGGCAGGATTGACTTTTCCAGAGCCCATAACAGAGCCTTTTTACTCAGTGGCACTCCCACAAACACAAACCAGAATTCAAGCAAAGGAGCTGTGCAAAGTTTCTTGTGAGCAGGAGATGATGTTTGGTGGATTTCTGTGAGAACTGTGATGGGTTTTACTCAGAGAAATCTTCCCTAACTTGTCACTGCCTGTTCCTCTGTGTGCAGTCTCCCATGTCCAGAGGCAGCAAATGTCCAACAGCAGCTCCATCACCCAGTTTTTCCTCCTGGCATTTGCAGACACATGGGAGCTGCAGCTCTTGCACTTCTGGCTCTTCCTGGCCATCTCCCTGACTGCCCTCCTGGGAAACGGCCTTGTCATCACTGCCATAGCCTGTAAACACCGCCTCCACACTCCTACCTACTTCTTCCTCCTCAACCTCTCCCTTATTGACCTCTACTGCATCTCCACCATTCTTCCCAAATCCATGGCCAATTCCCTGTGGGACATCTCATCCCCTGTGGGACAGGGAGATCTCTTTTTTGGGATGTGCTGCCCAGGTGTTTCTATTTGTCTTTCTGATGTCAGCAGAGTTTTATCTCCTCACTGTCATGGCCTATGACCACTATGTTGCCATCTACAAAGCCCTGGACTACAGGACCCTCCTGGGCAGCAGAGCTTGTGTCCACATGGCAGCAGCTGCTTGGGGCAGTGGGTTTCTCAATTCTCTTCTGCACACAGCCAGCACGTTTTCACTACCCCACTGCCAAGGAAGTGCTGAGGACCAGTTCTTCTGTGAAATCCCCCAGATCCTCAAGCTCTCCTGCTCACACTCCTACCTCAGGGAAGTTGGGCTTCTTGTGATCAGTGTCTGTTTAGGTCTTGGCTGTTTTGTGTTCATTGTGTTGTCCTATGTGCAGATCTTCAGGGACGTGCTGAGGATCCCCTCTGAGCAAGGACAGCACAAAGCCTTTTCCATGTGCTACCCTGACCTGGCTATGGTCTCCCTGTTTCACAGCACTGGCATCTTTGCTTACCTGAAGCCCCCCTCCATCTCTTTTCCAACTCCAGATATTGTAGCAGCAGTTTCATACTCAGTGGTGTTACTAACAGTGAACCCTCTCATCTACAACTTGAGGAACCAGGAGATCAAGGGTGCTCTGAGGAAACTCTTTGAATACACACTGTTCCAACACCAATAAGGTGCCCATCATCACTATAGGACTCACAGGGTAGCTGAGAAAATCCCAGAATTAACTTTTGTTCATGTGTTTCTTTTTGTTTTTCTTTTGTCATTCTTACTTCAGGTTGGGGTTTTCTGTGTGTGTGTGGTTTGCTTTGTGGGATTTTTTTTGTTTGTCTTTTTGTCAATGGTATTGTGTTTGGTTGGTTGGTTATTAATGCTTTTGATATTATTCTTGGCCCTGTGTTTTGTGTTGCAAAGGCTGCATGTACATATGGAGGCAGGCTCCCCGTTCAAATAAACTCAATAAAGAAACCAGCAGGAAGAGATCTGGTTTATCTCTCATCTCTTCATATCTTTTGTGGACCTGGGGTCCATCCCTAGCATTCAAGAGCAGATTAGAAGCCAAAAGCCATGAAGCCCCCTGGGGCTGCTCGTCGTTGCCTCAGCTGCCTCTCTGCTGCCTGTGAGTCAGGGCTGCTGCTTCCTTGGAGTCATGGCCATGAAGAAGAACAGGACATTTTCCTTTCAGTTCTGCTCTCTTCTCACTTTCAACCTGTCCTCCTGTGTCCTTGTGTTTTGTAAGCCCTAAGGTCTTGTGTAACTTGTGGGAGTCCTGTTGTCTCTACAGTGTCATCTCTGTGGCTGTGTCAGAGCTGGCTTCCCTGCTAGCACCAGCGTAAGCAAAGGGTCTGCTAAGGTCAGCACCTCTTCCAAAGCTGGCATCCAGCACAACTCAATTCTGACATAAAGAACTTAAACTCAGGGAGAGGAAGGGGACAATGTCCCAACTAACCAGCTTTAGGAAGTCATGATATGCATGATCTTACATCTTACTACAGATTTTAATGACTCTGTGTACTGAGTTTTCATGGCAAGCTTTTTAAAGCAGTAAGAGGGCCTGCAGGGTTAGTCTAGGTGAGAAGAGTTCATGTAAAACCTTACAGATTAAAAAAAATGTTCAGCTGTGTATGGACTGACAAAGCAATGATGACCTTCTCTTGTTTCATCCTTTCCCCCCATCACTTGTTCAGGCAGACAGGAAATCAATAGAGGTGAAATTCTTGGGTGCCAATGATTGTATTCCTGTCCTCAGCCTCAGCTGAATTCCTTTGCCTTGGGCAACACAGAAAGGCACAGGCTGAGATGTTTCGGTATGTGGGCAGATGCCTGATCTTCTATCAAGCCAGCAATGAGACCAATTGCAGGATGCTACAGGTCATGAAAGGGGCACCTATTTCATGGATTTGCTGTCCAAGGTAGAAAATACCCCAGCAAACAACTCAGAAGTGCCAAAGGAGAGTACAAAATGAAGTGTGGTCAATGTGGGAATGACTAAGAGGTGTGGTGGGTTGGCCCCAGCCAGCACCTAAGCCCCTACCCAGTTGCTTGTTCACTCCTCCAAACAGGAAGATGGGGAAGAGAATCAAAAAGGTAATAGTGAGAAGAAATCATCAATTGAGATAGAGTTTGATAAGTGAAGCAAAGCTGTGTGGTAAGGAAAGAAAACAAAGCATTTGTTCACCACTTCCCATTGACAGCCATTCCAGGACAGCTTTCAGGACTTCATCACATGTAAAGGTGACTTGGCAGGACAAATGTCATGACCACAAACATCCCCTTTCCCACTTTCCTTGCCCTTTTATGGCTGATCTTGATGCCATATCATACTGATTAACCCTTCTGGTCAGTTGGGGTCAGCTGTTGCAGCTGTCTCCCCTTCCCAGCTTCTTGCCCCACCCCAGCCTATGTTTTGTCAGGGCAGTGTGAGAAACAGAGAAGGCCTTCATGGTGTCTAAACACTGTCCAACAACAGCTAAAACATTGACTGGTTATCGATATTGTTTTAATCATGAATCCAAACCATGAAACTATATGGGCTACTATGAAGAGAAATAATTCCATCCCAGCCCACCAGGGTAGGCTGAACTTTTTGGAAAGTGTGAGGGTGTTCACAGGGAAGTACTCGAGGGAGGGGAAATGGAAACCAGAAAATGAAAGGTGAGGCCAAGGATGTCATCTGCTTGGGGTGTCTGTGATGCAGCCCTGTAGCTGACGTGAATTATTTACACATTCAGAGGGAACATGAGTGCCTTTCCTAATGTTTCAGACATGAAGGGGAAGGAATGAATATGTCATTCAGGCTAGAAGGGACCTTGAAAGATGTCTGTAGAAGGTCCAGTTCAAAGCCAGATGACAGCAGGTTGCTCACAGTTTTATTCTGATGGCTCTGAGAAATTTCCAAGCCTGGAGGCAGAACAAACCTGGACATGGCTTCCAATGTCTGACTGCCCTCAAGCTGCAAAAGTTTC